CTAAATGACAGAAAAAGAAAGAGAAAGTTAGAAGTTTGAAAAAATGCATTTACTGCATTCATTAAATAAAAATTTCGAAACCCAAAGCTTCAGCACAAAGCAAAACACAATAAGATATACAGTAATCAGAAAAAATGTAAATCTTACCTTTGACAAACAACATTTTCTAAAACATTGAAGCATTTTTCCCTCCAACGTCTTGGTCGCCCTAAGGGCAAAAATCCAGTGGAGATTTGTCTTTCTTTGTGAAATTGGTCGATTCTAAGTTACCCACGAAGAATGCGTGTTCACAAAGCACAACAACAATACCTTTCTTCTCGTTCGATGATTCTCAAAGCAGTAACGAGTTGCTGAGGACCAGGGTCTGCTCCTCTTACTGCTTCTAAGGTTCTGCTGACGATGTACCATAGCTGCTTCCCTAATTCTTCGACCAACTTTGCTACTTCCGCAAAATAATCCGCCAGAATCTGTGGTTTATTTGTGATAAGAAAACAGACGAATGCATAATGATGCAGCAGTACATAGTTCAATACAATAGCAGATTTATGCTATTCTTTAGCGACATAATGCCAACAAGCAAGTACATGCTACCACTTTCAAAGCATCAATTCTGTAATGTCAGAGATGATAAACAAGAGCAAATAGAAACAGCATTCGAATTCACTAAGCGGCTGATTCCAATGTTTCAATGACTCGCTTTTCGGCCACGTCTACTTAGCCACCTACTAGTGTAACTAGCGAAAAACCTTAGCTCCAGTGCTAATTAACGTATAATGCCCTACGTTCTTGAATATTTCAGTTTTTAAGTTAAAATAAATATAACTAATCTTTTGAATACAATCAATGGTCTTTGTCTGACGTGATAATTATAGATGTAGTTTGGATGAAACGTTTTCCATTATGATAAAGACCAACATCTGATTGTTCGCATGACCATTGAAGCTGAATTTTTTCATACTCAATATTAATAACTTTTAAAATTAAAGTTCAATTATAGACTGACTCACCTTCTGATCGTAATGACTATCGACACGAGACTTGAATACTTCAAACATTACGTCATCCCTTGCATTTTCCAGTTCCATCAAACTTAAAGATAACTTAACTTTAGAAACACACCGCATACATTAATACTTTTTGTGCACGTGCAGTAGCTTGCTATCCTTAAGCAACTCGTATGTGTTTTCTATAGTTTCCTGGATGTGATATATGGCATGAAGATTCTCCATTGCTGAGGAGCACTAGAAAAAATAAACATAGCAGTTCAAGAAATATCTAACAATAAGGAACTGCAGCTAAAACTTTCTAGGATACGTTTCAACAAGAACATTCGACTACAAATCAATCAACAAATACCGTTCATAAATAATTATTCAAAGAAAGATGAAAGTATTACAGTGCCATGTATGATCAAAAGCAGCCAGGTGATTATGACCAGAAATTTTCATTCAAGAAAATAAGGCATACAGCAATAACGCAACTGCACTTTGACTCGAAGGTATCTTACGCGTCACATGTTTTGTTGAGAGGTTGCACAGAGAGACATTTAATCTCTTAAAGAACAACATGAA